AAAAAAAAAAAAAAACAAAAAGCATAACGTGCACGGACAGCAAATTGAATTGCCGGCAAACAAGGCCGAGACCTGCAGGAAGCTGAGCATTAAAAAAATACAACAACAACAAAATCACAATCGGAGTCACACTGGCGAAACGACGATGGCATACGAGGAGCATCAGCCTCTCACATCGTCATCAGAATCGTTTTAAACAAAACGGACTAATTAAGCGCACGTTGTAGTCCACGTTTGACCTGCTCCGACCGGAACAGCTCCACGCCTGAGTCGACTCACCTGTCGCAGCAAAATGACTTGTCGGAACTAAAAAACTTAATCAGCGACTAAAGGGCGGTGCTAAAAAAAAGTGATGGGCTCCTAGCTGGGCTCCAAGCTGGGCTGCCAGCTGGGGCCTTAGAGCTGAAGTGTGTGGGAAAACTTTCGGAAATTTCAATAGGTGAATTCTGATCACAATTAGAGCCATTTCTTCTGCCATAAGCAATCAAGGTAAGTGAGAGTTAAAGGCCTACTCCCAAAGTAAATAAATAAAGTCTGAAGACGAATCCATCTAGAGGACGAAGAGTGAACAATCATTGACTTAAACTATTCAACTTGTATAAAATTTTGCTACTTTTCTTTCTTCCCTTGCAAGTTTTATTTCCATCAGAATAGATCACTTGGGTTAGATCTGCCGATTTTATTTAACATTTGCTCTGGATTAACCAAGGTAATTAAATATATGGCATTTATAAGTATATAATAAGTAAACCTGTCTGCGCCTTTATATAAATATTTATTTCAATTGAGCTGCTGTTGCGCTCAGCCTGCTCCAACCACAGACTCTTTATGAATAGAGCGAAAAGCAAGCTGAAAGTATAGCAACAACAACAACGAAATCTCTTTTTGCGTAGAGAGTCGCAATGGTTCGGGTAGTTAAGGCGCTTTGATGTATATGTGTCAGTTGTCCACTCACACACCCACACACACACCTACACACTCACACATCTATATAGAAGCATTTTTGGTGTATCGCCGCGTAAATCCGTCTTTGAATAATGATGCCGTTGATAGCTGGGATTATAGCTCAGGCGCAAGCAACGAAATCATCTCTCAGCTACTCCCTCTCGCTCTCATTCTCAGTGTATCTCTGACACACACACATGTGTGTGTTAGTCTGTGCGTGTGTTTGTGTGCAGCCAGCCTGGCCATTTATTTATTATGCCACAATATTCAATGACCCTTAATGGCATTTCGTAATAAAAATATTGGATTAGTTTGTTAGTTTTGGTCGCGCTCGGGCATATCAACCACCGTCGAGGGGCCCATTGTAGCGCTCAGCCACCCACTGGACACTTTATCAACTGGCCCGGCATTACGTATTCCATTAAACGCCTAATGAGCCCATTGTGCGGCCTGTCTGGGGTCATCAGGGGCCAGTCTCGGCTAGCCTCGGGAGGGGCGTGGCTGGCGCCCAGGTACTTAGACTTAGTTAGCGATCAAAGCGGCAATGCGTGCATATGTATGTATATGCCACGCCCCAAAACAGCAATGACTACAATCAATTTTTGTGTCTAGAAAAAGAAATATACGAAATTTTATGTAAATAAATATATTGGTATATCAAATGAATGATATTTTTAAGCAAGAGAAATCGAGTCGGTTGAGACTGGAATTTGCTTAAATTTGAGATACATTTATTTAGTTCTGTTCATAAAAATAAAGGTGCAGAAGAATAAAAAATTAATTATAACTAAAAATGACGAACTGCGGGACAGCAAAGCATCTACTCCCAAAAATCTCATTTTTTGCAGTCTTTGATTTTGATGATTTTAGAGAGGCATAGAAATAGTAGTTCTCCCCTGTGAAGTAAAAATTAAAGTAGAGTTGTAATGGCAATATTCTATTATCAATATTATAATTCCGTTTTATATACTTACATGTATATGAAGAAGTCCATTCATTTTTATTATGTATATAAGTGCAAATGGAATACTTCGATTTTATAAAAATTATTGATTTGAATCTGTTTGTAAATGCAGTTAGAGGTGGAGAGCCATCAATAGTGATGACAGTTATTGAAAAACCATTAATATTCACTACTACCGATAGTTTTATTTTTTTTCACAACCATCGAAAGTCCACAAAAGTGCGATAACAAATAATCGAAAAACTTTGCAATAGAAGACAAGAAGAAGAGAAGCAATAAGAATATTAAATTTGTGCTTTAAAATTTAAAAGGAAAATATGCTACAAATACTTAAAATACAATCCAAAAAGCCAATCGGAAAAAAGAATTATCCTTAACTGTTCGGCAAGACATTGAACACATTTAATAAACAATTCAATTAAAATTGATCTAACAATAAGTCTCAGTCTCTTTTCAGATGACTTTGAATATGTATAAACAAAATTCTGTTTAATTACAGACTCGATGTGGTTAAAGTATGGCTCGGATATGCTAGGGCTAAGTGAGGCTGGTAAAAACCTAGAGATTGTAATACGCTTAGCTCTGGGGCTACTCTCATATGCATGTAGCATATTAAAATACCAAAACAGCAAATGCCCCGGCACGTAATCGGCATCGGAATCGGAGTTTGGAGCTGGAGCTGGAGCCAGGAGCCGGCACTCGGCACCCGGCGCACGGCGTACGGCGTACGGTAGCCGGATAACCGAATGGCCGGGTAGCTCAGGACCCTTCGACTTGCATGCATGTGACATAATAAATATTAATGACAACTGACCGACAGCCTTGCCATAGATGATCCCTGCCCAGTGGGTGGGCCGAGGGATGGAGGCGGACGAATAGAGTGGAGTAGAGTGGGGTGGACGTATGTGAGGTAGGTGGCCAGTGGGTTGACGTTGACACACATTCGACATGTGACAGATAAATTATGGCAATTGGATGAATGCCGCCACACCTCTTCAAACGGGCCCCTGGCCAACATCATGCAATTTTGCTTTAGCTATGAGATCATTTTTCATTTTCATTTCCTCTCACTCTCTCGCGCTCTCTCTCTCTCTCTCTCTAGTCTGGGTTTCGTTTGTTTGTTTGTTTTTCTTGGTGCGGAGAAGGTTGTGACATATGTGCGTTCACGACTAATGGCAGTCAAGTTTACCATAACCAAAGGACATCAGCCAGCACACACACACACACACACACATACAGGCGCTCTGTTGAGGGCCATCCTTAATAGTTTTCAGTTCGCAAATGATACGGTTAGCGGACTAATGACTGAATGCCACCAGGCTGAAATAAATTACAATAATCATTTATTGTTCAATAAGCCCAAAATGAAGGCAAGCAGAAGTGGGTGTAGCTACGACTCTCTATCGGTGTAAGAGCCTATGAGTGTGTGTGTGTGTGTGTGTGTGTGTGTGTGTATATGTGGGTGTCTGTCCAAAGTTCAGGCATGCATACAAATGTGTAATAAAAATAATGACAGCATCTTTGGCAGCCAGCTTCTAGATCAGTTTATCACATTCATCAAGTGAATGAAGAAAAAAACCCAAACTTGCGCAGCTGCTTAATCGATTGATTCACTTTTGGTCAGCGAACACTGTGAAAGTAAAAGAATGGTTTGAGCGATAG